TGGGGTGGGGGACGGAGGGCAGCGTCTGTCTTTAATTGGATCATACCAGAGCATCATCTGGACTAATCAGCAAAGCAACCAGGGGCTCCCGCTCAGATTAATGATTGCAGTCTAATCCGAGCAGATCCCATGATTGGATACACATCGCGGGTAATTGTGTTTGTGGCCCAGGAGCAGCACTGAGAGGGGGTCCAAAGAGGGGAGGCCAGTGGAGTGAGGGACCACAGGTTTGAACCTCCCAAACCTCAGTTCTCTCCTCCCCCAGCCCCCACCTCAACCCTGGGGTTTTCTCCCAAAGAAGTTCAAGCTTAGCTTGAACCACAGTACCCATCTGCCCATGCTGGTGATGGGTTCGATGTTAGGTGCTGCCTAAATCGGGGGATTAGGTTGCCGGCAGCGCAGAGGCAGGGCCAAAAGGGTGAGGTTAATCCAGCTTTCCCTCCCCCTCCTCCCCTCCAGTCTCCTTCGTTCCCCTTTGAAGTGAGTGGGTTCCCATGGAAACCATGGTGTCCTGAGGAGCGGGAGAGGGGCAGGAGCTAGGCCTGGCCAGGTGCTGGTGGGGGAGGACGTTGGCTTTCCAAAGACTGCTCTGCTAAACCTCTGAGAACCAGGGACGTGGAGGTGCTGACGTTGTTGCCCATTATTGATAAGGAAAAGCTGGGCTGGAGGCATGAGCAGTAAGAAGACAGTGAGGGCAGTGGCGCTTTGCCTTTCCATTAGGAACCCAGAGAGTGGAGCTGCTGGTCAGGGGTAGAGGGTGAGGTGGCTTCCGGACCCGCCTGTCTCGTTTGCGGCATTACTCACCATTGAATTAACTGAGTTAGCATTTGGGTCAACCTTATTTCTGTTTCCTTTGCTATACTGTTAGCTCCAGAGGACAGGGTCTGTGTCTCTTGCTCACTGCTGTATCCCTAGCACCTTACACGATACCTTAGAGTCAGCAGCTTAGACGAAGTAGCTACTGCATCAAAGCTTGTTGGATGGCTTCATTAAATAGGTTAGGGAGCACCCCATAAATTATCATAGTTCTAGGTTGATGTGCTGGCAAATGTCTCTCGAGGCGGGGAAGGGGAGCAGCTCCGATCTGTAGCATTTGCTGATCCCCGTGATGTAAATACTCGTACCATGGCGCATCCCAAACTGCCCACCTGATGCCACCGAGCAGTAGGGAACACATGAGCAGGGCGGGCTCTCACTGGCCTCAAAGCCCAAACCCCGCACAGGGAACCAGGTTCCAGGTGCACAGTCTCCAGATTTACATGGGTAAGCCCATCTTACAGGCCAGTTCTTTAGAATGGTGTTACTGATACTTCCAGCTGCAATCCTACATTCGTGGTCTGCACTGTCCTGTCTGGTCCACTCCTGGGTTCTAAATTTGAAATGTTCTCTCTTAATCAATGAACTCTTGAACAGCACCCGGTGTGGATGGGTGTTTTATAAATGTCTGCAGTGATGATTTTCCACCTGAATGCCGAGGCAGTCTGTCTCTTTCCATCTGCTTCAACAGCGCCCCACCTTTACTCCAAACTTCTCCATCTTTTCCAAGTGGCTTCCAAACCTCTCCTGGTCTATCAGCGAATGATCTCCTTCCTCGCAGCTCCAGAAACCCCGCCTCAAACCATTCTTCTGCTTCCTCCTTAGTTTCTTAGCTCTGAGAATCTTGCACTTTCCACATCATGTGTCTAGTTCTTTCTGTCAGTCTCATCTCCCACACATCACAAGCTCAGAACTTCTACCCACATGGGACCACCAGAGAGCTCATGCTCAAGTCCAGCTCTGGTTCAGTAAAAGCAGTGTGAGCCCTTTTTGTAATGCACTTGTTTCTGTCTCATGCAGACTGGATGGCAGAATCCACACTTGTGGGGGGAAGGAACAGAGCAGGACAGTAGGCAGTGTTCAGATCACTCCCTTGAGACTATCCTAAAG